AGGAAACAATATTTTAAAAATATATTTTTTTATTTATTATTTTAGTTTATGTGCATGAGTGTATTGCCTACATGTGTATGAGTGCACCCATGTCATGCAATGCCCAAGGAGGTCAGAAGAGAGCTTCTGAGTCCCCTGAAGTTACAGACAGTTGTTAGCCATTATATGGGTACTAGGAATTGAACCCGATCCTCTGCAAGAACAGCCAGTGCTCTTAACTACTGAGCCAACTCACCAGCCCAGAAGCAATGCCAGCCCAGAAACAATGCTTTTAATCTGGTCTAGTTGTGCTATATCAGTCAATGAACTGAGAATTGACAAATGTGACACCACGACTCTGCTTTGACAAGACAGAGATCGAGATCAAGACCTCTCTCCTCTTAGCTCAGCAGATGGTTGAGAAAGTGTTCCAATTGTAAGAACCCCAGACCCCAGGACTCGGTATATATCTCAACAGTAGAACATGAGGCCGTGGACTCCAATCCTAACATCACACAAGAAATAAAAGAATCATAAAAGTGTGGTGGTGCACACCTTTAATCCCAGCATGAGTGAGGCAGAGGTAGGCATAGCTCCATGAGTTTGAAACCAGCCTGGTATACATAGCAAGTTCCAGGCCATCCAGGGCTACAAGGGAGACCCTGCCTCAAAAACAAAAACAGACAAACAAAAAACTATAGAAGCATAATTTTTCCCCAATCACTTTTTCTTTTTAAAAACTGTTGAAAAATCAAGGTCTACAAGCTATAGACATTTTACAGAGCTTCAAAAAATAACCTAAGTGAACCTTCTCCTAATCAAACCCTAGTCCTTCAAGGTCATTGTTAAAGAATACAGAGAAACCTGCTAAATAAATCAGAATGGAGCCCAGCATTCACGGAAATCAAGTGGCATTTATCTTTGGAAATGGCTCTCTAACATTTTTATTTCATTGGTATGAACTTTCCAACAGAACCCTAAAGCTATTATATAGAACACGAGGGCTTTTTAATAGCTTCTAACGCAGCAAGCCACGGTAATTGAAAAGAGCGATGAGCTGAGGGGTGCAGGGGGATTTCTGCTGAAGAGTACAAATGTGTTCTTTGCTACATGGTTTCCGCCTCTTTCTGGGCAGAGGCAAAATGCACACAGGAATGGGATGGAACTTTCCAGCTGGTGGTTTTGCATTAGCAGGAGGGAATGTGTTGTGAAAAGGAAAATTACTGATAATTGGGTGTAAAAGCCTGTAAGGGAAAAAAATATGGAGAAATGTTGCAGAATCTTTATTTATATCAGAAGCTGAGCCCTGTTGGTGGGTGTGTGAATTTGAGTGTCTTTTGCAGGGGAATTTAGCAATGTGCTAACACTTTGACCAACAATCCACTTCTAGGAGTCAATCTTTTTAAATTGAACTCATCAGTCTCTCTCTCTCTCTCTCTCTCTCTCTCTCACTCTCTCTCTCTGTCTGATATATAGGGGGAAGGTGCATTGCTACACAGCATGCGTGTGGAGGTCAGAGAAAAAGTTTTTGGAAGTGGAAGTTCTTTCCTTCTACTTTTCATGGGTTCTAGGGATGGAACTGGGTTAAGAGATTTGCACAGCAAGTCATGTACCCCTTGAGCCTTCTTGCTGGCTCTAGGAATCAATTATATCAATACTTGACATGTACAAAAAGGAATATCCAAGGGGCTGGTGAGATGGCCCTGTGGGTATAGGTGCTTGCCACAAAGTCTAATGACCTGAGTTCGAGTCCTGGAACCCATGTGGTGGAAGGAGAGAGCCAACTCCTTATGTTGTCTTCTTACCTCCACAGGCATGCCATGTCACACATGTGCCCGCACACATACATGTAAGTGTTTTTTTAATTTAAAGGAATATCCAAAAGGATATTCATTGTAGCATTGTTTGAACAGGTGAAAACAGCATCTAGAAAAGGAGCTATAATGTAGCTCAGTGGTAGAATATTGGCTAGTGCATGCAAGGTTCTGTGTTCCACTCCCAGCATTGCAACAAGAAAAAAAGAGAAATAATCTATATCCATTAGTATGGCATATCCACATTTTAGAATAATTTTCTGCTAATAAACAGAATGAGATAAATCTATATATTCTGACACAGAAAGATGCCCCTGATGTGCTAAGTGGAGGTGGCGGCAGATTGCAAAATAATATCTATCAACCAAGTCCATTTAAAAATGTTTTAATGTTAATATATTCATAAAAATATCTGGAAGATATGTATCAGAGGTTATCAGTGACTACCCACAGGGGATGAGATACATATTTTTTAAGCGTTTACATTTTTATGAGCATAGATTACTCTTACCAATGAAGAGAGGAAATGTTGAGTTATTTCCTCAAGGGAAGAAAGCGGATAGAATAAGAAATAGCTGGTAATGTGGTTTATTTGGTCTCTAAGTGAAAGGTTTCAGTGTAATTCCACAGCGGGTGCTTCTCAGATTCCAGCAATCTGGGTAAGGGTGATATTTAATCAGAATGAACCTGAATGCCAGGGCGGTGCACATACAGGGAGCCTGAAACCCCGTATCTTCCTGTCTTCCTCTTCCAGTCTCCTGAGCCCCCTCTATGTTGCTGCTGCTGCAACTGCTGCTCCTGATTAGCTTTATGGTGTCCAGCCCTCTGATTTCCCATTTCTGTCTCATACCTCACAAGCCATTTCAAGACCCAGCTCCAGGGCCAGCACTTGGGCTGTGTTTCCTCCTCTGAGCTGATTCAAGTTCCCTTATTAGAGGGATGCTATATTCCTTCACAGTGCTGGATGCCTACTGCACTGCTGCACATTTATTCTGATTCGTTGTCTTCTCCACAGACCCTGGGTTCCTGTAAGACAAGCTGTAATCTGTTTACCACAAAATTCTACCGCACTGCAGGGGTGGAGTGTGAATTCAAATAAACATCTTTCCAGTTGAAGCAATCTGGGCTGTTTCTGCCTCTACCCCATACCTCTGCTGGGCCTGGCCATTTTTAGTTCAGTTTGTGCCTACACTATGGCTATAGCTTCATCATGGATTTCCTTGCCCCTTTTACCCTACAGGCTGGCATTTGACCCATAAGTTTCTGTTCAAAACCTTTTAAAGGTGGACTAGAATTGCTTGCAGAGCCAGATCTGACTTTTGGCTCTAGTTTTGCCTCAGGCTTATGTGAGTTCTGGTATGTTGCTTTCCCTCCCTGAGCCTCACCTATAAAACGGAGGTAATATTACTCACCTTGTGGGATTTTCTTTTTCATCTTTGTGTGTGTTTGTGTGCTTGTGTGTGTGTGTGTGTACATGCATGCACAAAGAATTGATACAGTGAGCACCTGGAGATCAGAGGACAACCTCAGGTGCCAGTCCTCACTTTCTACCTTGAGATAGGGTCATTTGTTGTTCTCCACTGTGCACACCCTCCAAGCTGCTGAGACGCTCCTGTTTCTGCCTCCTATCTTGTCATAGGAGTGTAGGGATTATAGACATAGGCGACCATATTGGACTTTAAAAGGGTTCTGGGGATCCAAACGCAAGTCTTCATGTTTGTCCTGCAAGCACTTGACCCACTAGCCATCTATCTCCCTAGCCTCTTTGTTGAGATTTTGGTTGTTTTTATTGTTGTTGTTTACTGTACTTAGGAAGGAGCCCAGGGCCTTATGCATGCTAGGCAATCTTCCTAGCACCGAGCTCTACTCCCAGCCCTAACAGTTTGCTGTTGTTTTCCTTTTTGTGACAGGGTGTTGCAATGAGCTCAGTCCAGCCTCAAACTTGTTATGTAGCCAAGGCTTGCCTAAAACTCATTATCTTTCTGCCCTTAACCTCACAAGTAGCTGGACCTGCAGGTGCACACAGCTGTGCTGATCTGTGAGAGGCAGTGTAAGTCAGAGAAGAAAGTACAGCTTCAAAGTGTCTGTCTGAAAGTTCAACTACATCCTGATAGTTTGGGGCATCTTGAGCAAGTTTCTCTTTGTACATAAAGAACTCTACAGTATCTTCTACCTCAGATCAACTTTCTCCAGAAAAGGCACGTAAAATTAAAGCACCCTTTGTGGGACCAATCCTCAAAGGGGCAAAAACTCTTCTCTGCTCTTAAAATTAAATTCTACTGGGTGTGGTGGTCCACACCTCTAACTCCAGGACTTGGGGTGGCTGAGGCTGGTGGATCTTTGTGAGATTAAGACAGCCTGGGATGAGCCTGCTTAGTGGGGTCTAGGCCAGCTTGGGCTACATAATGAGACCCTGCCTCAAAAAAAACCCCAAAACAAAAATCAAATTTAAATATAAAAGAATATTTGTGCAATCCAGTCCCACTTTGGGGCAGTTTCTTCTTTATTATCAGACTTGAAAGGGACTTTAACATGAAGAAACCACAGACAGATTTTAACAATGTAATCTCGGGGTGGTAGAACAGGAATGTTTTTCATTTTATCTGTGTCTGTCTAAACCTTCAAAATCTGTAATTTAGAGGTAGAGATGATGGCTGCACAGTAAAATGTACACTTTAGAATGGATTTTTTTTTTTTTGGCTTTTGAGACAGGGTCTCCCTGTACACCCCCGAGCCTGGGACTCGCTATGTAGACCAGGCTGGCTGATCCGCCTGCCTTTGCCTCCCAAGTGCTGGGATTAAAGGCGCGCCACGACGCCCAGCAAGAATGGATAATTCTTTGAGTTCTGTCTCATTAAAAAAGATTATACATGGGGGAAGTGGGCCTTAAACCTTTAATCCCAGCACTGCGGAGGCAGAGACCATGAGATTGAGGCCAGTATGGTCTACATAATGTGTTCTACAAAGTGAAACTCTGTTACCAAAACAAACAAACAACACTCTTATGCAATAGATGCGTGACTTGATCTTCCTTTTGTGGTTTGAGGAGAGAGTCAAGGATCATTTTCGAGGCTTGACCTTTCCGGCAGGGTCACAGGCTGGACTTGCAGCGCGCTCCTCCTCCCGCCAGGGGGCGGGGCGGAACCTAGCTCCTGCGCTGGCCGGGGAGCGCGGCCTCCTCTTGCAGCCCGAGCGTGGAGAGGCGGGGCGGCGGCGGAAGCGCGGGCCGCATGACCCAAGTCTCCGAGCGCGTTGTCGGACGTCGGAGCTATCCCCGGTCCTTGCAAGCCCTGGGTCCCTGCTTGCACAACGGGACTACCGGATCCCCGCCAGCCTCATGGCGCTGCAGTCGCTGCAGAGCTCGGGAGTGGGCCTGCGCAGGATCTTGTCTCACTTTCCCGAGGAGCTGAGCCTGGCTTTCGCCTATGGCTCTGCGGTGTACCGCCAGGCGGGGCCCAATGCACACCAGGAGGTGAGCCCCACCCCCGGCACCTGTGCCCTCAGTCCCCACGTGCCTTCCGTCCCTTCTGAGCCCTTGGGTGTCGTGGGCTCAGCACACGCCAAGCATAAACCAGCAGAATGCTAGCCATAGTGGTGTTCCCCCGTGTGAGCTGGATTTTGGTTTTTGTTGCTTAAAAATATTTTTTTATTGGGCCGGAATCCCAGCACTCGAGAGGCAGAGGCAGGTGGATCTCTATGAGATCGAGGCCGGCCTGGTCTACATAGCGAGTTTCCAGACCAGCTGGGGCTACAGGGAGACCCTGTCTCAAAAAAAAAAAAAAAGTTTGTATTTTTTTATAATTTCATACTATGTGTTTTGGTCCTATTCACCCCCCAACTCCATGGGGAGAGAGATAAGGTTGTTTTTGTTTTTTGAGACAGGACCTCATCATAACTTCTTAGGTAAACCAGACTAGGTTCTTTTGGTTTTTGTGGGTTTTTTTTGTTTGTTTGTTTGTTTGTTTTTTTAAGACAGGGTCTCCCTGTAGCCCCAGTTGCCTTGGAACTCGCTGTGTAGACCAGACAGACCAGAAATCCACTTGCCTCTGCCTTCCAAGTCCTGGGATTAAAAGATGTGTTCCACCACACCTGGCACATAATTACAATTTTTAAAAACATCTATCAACTAAGCATTGTGGTGCACACTTGTAATCCTAGTGATGGGGAAGCAGAGAAAAGCGAATGCCTGAGACATGCTGGCCAGCCAGCCTAGCCTACTTGACAGACTCCAGCCAGTGAGAGACCCTATTTCAGAAAAACAAATGGACACCTTAGGTTATCCTCTGCCCCTCCCCTCCCCTCCCCAACCACATTGTCTCCAACTCTTAAGTATCACTAATGGCTGGAGATCATGCTAGGAAACTCAGATCAGTCTTTAGCCTCCTGAAAGCAACCTAGTGATTTTTGTTGTTATTTTGAGAGAGGGTCTTACCATGTAGCCCCAACTGACCTGGAACCCACTATGTAGACCAGGCTGGCTTCAAACTCACAAAGATCTGCCTACCTCTACCTCCTGAATGCTGGGATCAAAGGTGTGTGCTGTCACACCCAGCTATGTGTAATCTTTTTTAATGAGACAAACTCAAAGGATTATCTATTTTAAGGTGTACATTTTACTTTGCCACCATGCCTGGCCCACCCTGTGATTATTCAGTGAATTTTTTTCCTTTGAGCTAACCTGGAATTCTCTGTAAGAAAAGATTCTTCTCTACATTCAAGTTAACAAGTCTTGTGTATTCTTACACTTAAATCACACTCAGGGCAGTGCCTTAGCCAGTCCTGTCTTTTCACTACTTACATGGCGTCTCAGTGTCTCCCTATCAGATTTTCCTCAGCCTTAATCTCTTCTGTAGCATGGGAAATCTCTCTCTCTGATCTCATTCAGTTCCATGGAAATATGTCCTGTTACACCAATATCAAACTGTAGGTCCCAGACCATGCCTGGTTGTCCTGCCAGTGGGAGCAGCATCCTCTAGGGTGACTCCACCATGCCCATACTTCCCCAGTTACTTCTGCCACACTGTTTTTTCATACAGTCTTCAAAACTCACACTTGTCATGTTTAAGAAAATTTCTCTTTCCTGTCCTTTTGATCTTACCCCTGTTCTGAGTGAAGTTGGTATATTGCCCATTCCTCTGTGGAGTCAATTTAGGGAGGATCTCTCAGGTCCTTCTCCCTGGTAGGCTCTTGACCTCTACCCTGGGACTTATCACAACTGATTATAGGCACACATTAAGTGGTCATAAATCAGTGAGAGTTGGAACAATTTATTTCCCTTTACAGACTATATAGAATTTATCCACACAATGTTAATTTAATCTGAAGAAAATTGGAGAAGAGTTACCCAAAAGACAGTGATGCGTAGTGTGGTTCAGCCCACAGAATCTGTTGCCATGCTGCTTAGGTCTGCCACTCTAACTTCTGCCTCGGGCAAAGCACTTACTGGTCCTTCATTTCCTTTCTTATAAATTGAATAATAACACATTTGCCTTGTAAGACTATTTTGAAGATAAAATGACCTGCTGTTTATATTGTATGTAAAGTGTTTAGCTGGCACAGTAATACACAGTAAATAAGTGTTTGGTATCACTATTTATATTGACAAAACAAAGCTCACATTGTTTCCTGAGGCCTGCTTAAGTTCCTGATGATAACCCTCAGTCTTATGGCCATTAAACATGGTATTATGGCACTTTAGAGCTTTCCATTACATATCTAGCTGTTTTTTTTAAGGAATTTGTATTGAACTCACACTTATCTCTTTCCAGAATCCCATGCTAGACCTTGTGTTTGCAGTAGATGACCCGGTTGCATGGCACACAGAGAATCTAAAGAAGAATTGGGGCCACTACTCTTTTCTGAAACTGTTGGGGCCCAAGATGATCACATCTATCCAGAATAACTATGGTGCTGGAGTCTACTTCAACCCCTTGATCTTGTGTGATGGGAAGGTAAGTGACTTCAAGCCTTGGTCTTAACTTGGGTGGCTTTAATTTGGCAATAGAATACCAGTGAAATATGTATGTCCTTGTTCTCAGGAAATAGCCATACCTCTGCTGGCTTCCTTAACCATTTTTTAAAATTTAGTTTTTATGGCCAGGCCTTTATATGGCTGGGCGTGGTGGTGCACAACCGTTAATCCCAGCACTTGGGAGGAAGAGGCTGGTAGATCTCTGTGAGTTTGAGGTCAGCCTGGTCTACATAATGAGTTCCAGGACAGCTGTGGCTACAGGGAGACCTTGTCTCAGAAAAAACAAAAAAGAAAATTCAGTTTTTATTTTATGGATATGAGTATTTTACCTGCATATATGGATCCCTTGGAACTGGAGTTCCAGGTGGTTGTTAGCTGCCATGTGGGTGCTAGGAACAGGACCCAGCTCCTCTGCAAGAGTAGCCAGTGGTCTTAACTGCTGAGCCATCTCTCTAGCCCTCTGCTGGCTTGAACCCAGGCATGGAGCAGTCATTTTCCCTTGACTGTGAGTGCAGTGTTCGAAGATAGTTGAATATGACTCTTTTTGTTTGTCTTTTTTGTTTTTGTTTATCGATTCTTTTGTTTGACCTTTGGCCAAGTGGTTTTCAGGTTGTAATCTGTTGGACACACTGATTTAGTACTAGAGTAGATTTAGTAGGGCTGGAGAATTCGACATTCTAACAGACTTCCAAATGATGTTGAAGTTGCTGGTCTAGGAACCACATGAGATCTATTGTTTGGGCAGTGTGGGAATCAGCAGGGCCATTTAGAGCCAGTTTGGAAATTGATGTTATGTACAAAGAGGGACGGATGCTTCCAGGAAGAACTTGGAAGTGAACAGGATGTCAAAAGTGGCTGGGTGCATGTGGGTGCTGAGTGACAGAGGGAACCTCTTTGTATCAGCAGGTGAGTAGGACTTGTCTAAGGAGATAGGAAATGGAACACTGACTGGGTTAGGGATGACCTGTGGGTTCCCCTGTGCCAGCGCTGCTGCCCATTGTTAGAACAGTCAAAGCTTTACAGGTTTGTGTCTAGGGATCTGTTAAAAAAGCAGATCTAGATTCAGCTGGTCTGGATGGAACCTGATACTGTGCATATTTTACAAGGTCTTTCAGTGAGTTAAAGGGCAGGAGGTTGGAGTAATGACGAGAGAAGGGCTTGAAGACCTGTCTGAACTTGGCAAAGAACTGAGTGATTGCCTAGTGATTCCTGCATAATCTTAAGGCCATGTATTTGCTTTTCTGGTCAAGGTTCTATCCTGTCCCTTCCTGCATAATGCAGCCAAGGAAACCATAGTTCAGAAAAAGAAAATACTTCCACAAAGTCCTGCAGCTTCCTAGTAACAGGTTCCAGAACTTCCAGGCCATAATGTGTCCATGGTCTAATTGTTCCCTGTCTACAATTACATGGTCTTGTGCGTCTACTTTTGTTTTGCAAAACACATAGTTTGGTTCTTTTTCATAATTAATACTATGCCAAGCCTATCTAATTAGTCATTTTCAAATAGTATCAGGAGCTCCAGTAACCAGATGTTTGGGCATGATTTTATGCCAGAGGGGATGTACTTTTTAATTGAAATTCTTTAGCTACTCTTTAAATATTTGCAGCCTGAGGGGGCTACTTACATACTGAGGTTTAGCAAAGATATTTGTTGATGTAAATGGGACTTGGTAAGCTGGGAAATCTACATTCAGGGTTTATGCAAATTACTATGGAAATGAGTTTGTCTATAATTCCATGTGCTTAGCACTGATAAGAGGTTTTTAATCTTTGGGTGTTGTTTTGTAATTGTAACCATTTGAGAGTCCACAGCAACACCAAAATTCGTTATGGGAAAGATGTAAGTAAAAACTTAATTAAAGAAAATTTTCTAGGACTGGGACTGCAGACATGCATTATGGTGCCCAGCCATAGGACCTAGCTTAATTCTACCCTGCAGTGCCACCTGACATGTCATTTATTATCGCTGGTCTTTCTTAATGCAGAAAATATTGGATGACCAGGTTAAAATTCCAGGACCTATATCTGTATGTGTCTGTGTAGCTTAAGCCTTGAGGTTTCTGTTTTTCAAGGCAGGGGTCTCATTTTTTTACCCAGGCTGGCACCAAACTGCTCCCTGGTTGAAGTGGTCCAGTAATCTACCCGTGTCTGGCTCTGGAATAGCTGGGATTGTAGGCATGCATTATGGTGCCCAGCCTTAGGACTTGCTTTAATTTCACCCCACAGTGCCACTTGACGTCATTTGTTGTCACTGGGCCTCTTTCTCTTTTAAGATTTACATTTATTGTTGGGTATGATGGTATATGCCTTTAATCCCACCACTCAGGAGACAGAAACAGGAAAATCTCTGGTCTCTACATAGCAAGTTCCAGGCCAGCAGGGTTTACACAGTGAGACCCTGCCAGAGAGATGACTCAGTAAGAGCACTTGCTGCTTTTCCAGAGAACCACGTTGAGCATCTCACAGCTGCCTGTAACGTTAACTCCGGGGATCTGATGCCCTCTTCTAGCCTCTGCGAGCACCACATACATGTGACAGACAGACAGACAGACACACACACACACACCCCAATTTAAAAAAATAAATTAAAAAACATTTGCATTCATTTAGTTTTTGTGTGTATGTATGTGGACACATGCATGCCACCACCTTAAGTCAGAGGACAGCTTTCAGGAGCTGGTTCTCTCCTTCTACTTTATGGGTTCTGAGGTCAAACTCAAGTCATGGGGCTTGTTGGCACGCACCTTTACCTGCTGAGTCCTTTCAGTGGCCCCTGGTACCCAGTTTCTTATTTCTCAGATGAGGAACTTTAAATTAATCACTTTGCAGATTGAAGGACCAATCCTAGCAGGTGTCTAAAGGCCGTTCTGCCTTTAACAATCATGTAACCTGAAAAACTGGCCGCCTCGCTTCCTTTACCTTGGGAGCCAGGTCAGACTTGGGAGAGTCTCTGGATAATTTTGGTGGAGATGTGCGTTTTCAGGAAATCGGAGTCCTGCTCCTAGACAAAAACTGTTTCCTTACTTCTGTGCTTGTGTAAGGAGCAGCCTGTTATTTTGTGCTTTTTCATGTCATCTCCTTTTTCAGCTTATCAAATATGGGGTTATCAGCACGAGTGTACTCATTGACGATCTCCTCAACTGGAAGAACTTGTACATTGCTGGACGCCTGCAGAAGCCGGTGAGTGTGCACCCCATAGGCCGCCACAGTCAACCTTGCCTCTTTACTTGACCTCACTTGGATCCCTGTGATATGGAATGGAATGGAATTCCGGGGAGATGGGGAAATGCATGTAGAGTCCTCCTATGCACTGTGAAATTCATCACCCAACAGTATCCAGTTACCACCTTGTGGTACTGTGATTCAAGAAGAAATGTTCCTTGGTTCCTGTTAAAGCACCTAAAAACCCTTGGAATTCCTCTGAATGTTAGGAATAACAGGGACTGGGGGTGGAACCGAGGGTGTTATGCATGTTAGGTAATTGCTACCACTGAGCCAAGTCATATCCCCAGGCCTGGGTGACTCTGGATGAGCCTCTGCTTAGCTCCAGGATAGGGTCTGATGACCAGAAGAACCAACCATGTGACTAGAGGGCCCTACTTCCAGACTTTGGGGGTTGGGGGGAGCGCTAGAGATTGAATTACTTAGCAAAGCAGTGAATTAATCAGTCACTGTCAGGTAACAGAACTGCCATTAAAGCCCTAACGACAAGGCCCAAGAGATTCATGCTGATGAACACCTTGAAGTGCTGGGAGGGTGGTGCCAGTTAGTAGGTTAGTACTCCCCACCCAATATCTTCTGTGTTTTTTTTTTTTCTTCTGTGTTTGTGGTTTGGGGTTTAGAACCCAGAACTTTGTGTATACTAAATACCCACTCTCCCCCAGAATGATATCCCTAACTCCTCACCTCTCCTACTCAGCTGTTCCTCAGTTATAAACTGTTAAGTGAAGTGCAGGTTATGGAAACCTCTAATTTACAGTTCCAGTTAGAGAGGGTCTGTTGAATTGGATGGTAGGAGATGCATCTGGTGTTCAGAAAGTTGGAGAATTAGTTTGGTGAAGACCAAAAGCCAAGGCAAATGCCTGTACTCCTGGCACTCAGGAAGTTGAGGCAAGAGAATCCCAAGTTTGAGCCCAACCTGGGCTACTTAGACCCTATAAATAAATTTATGTATGCATACGTACATAGACTGAGACGGATCATCTTAAACTCACACAGCTTCATTTGCCTTATGAGATCAGGCTCAGTTAGTCCATTTGGCCAGAGAGAGAGGCAGAGGTGAAGCCCAGTGTCTCCTCGTGTGTATCGGGACCACCGAGATTACCTTGCCCTCTAGAACCCAGGGCCATGGAGCACCATGTCCACTGCTGTCTCTCCAGAGGCCTAGGATAGTACCTGGTGCATGAGAGCTTTGCAGCTGTTATAAGGCAGTAGGTAAGTCAGACAGTCAATCCAGAAATCATGACTGGGACCTTGGAGTGTCCTCCAAAGGTCCGTGATGGTATCCCGTGCTTGTGATCTTACTTCTTTTAGGACTTTGCTGGAGGGGTTATGGGGAGTAGGCATCTTCTTGAACTCTCAACAGAAAAAAGTGGGCAGGAACTTGAACTTTAAAAAGAAAAAAAACGGGGCTGGAGAATTGGCTCAGCTGTTAAGAACACTGATTGTTCTTGCAGAAGATCAGGTTTGATTCCCAGCATCCACATGGCAGCTAACAACTGTCCATAACTCTAGTTCCAAAGGATCCGACAGCCTCTTCTGTCCTCCGTGGGCGTTGCACGACATGGGTGTACTTACCTACATGCAGGCACTACACTCATACACATAAGATAATAAATAAAATATAAAAAGGAAAAAAAGAAAACAATTATTACATTTTTATTTACTTATTTTGTGTGTGTGTTTGTGTGTGTGTATGTGCGTGCGTGCACACATGCACACGTGTGTGTTGCCCAGAAGTGCCACAACACGTGTGGAAGTCAGAAGACAACTTGATCTCCTTATACCATGTGGGCCCCAGAGATTGAACTGAAGTTGTCAGGCTTGGCAGCAAGCAACCTTACCTACTGAGTCGTTTCTCCAGCTCAGGAATTTAACTTTTAGCAAGTATTGGTAAATCGTATTATTTCTTTTTTTATGCTTATTTTTTAATTTTCCAAATTTATGGTCTATTTTCAAAAAGTTTCTTTCAAGAGCTGTGTTCAGTAGTCATGGTTACTAATCCAACACCTTTCTAAGGGAAATATTCCCTGTGCTATCAGAATATCTCAGGTTCCAAAGATATCTGTGGATTGTTGTCAGGTGCTTTTCATAACAGTGACACATTGCCGTCTCCTTTTGCAGTCAGCTGTGGGAGACCAGACAGAGCTTTATACAGTCATAGCCCATTGGTTTATAAAGAAAACTCTGATAACTGATGTATGTGAGCTGTGGAGACTCTCTTACCTTGGAACCTGGACTTAAAAATGTAGTGGTGTAGCTCATTAAAGTGGCCAGAAGTGTGTGATCTGGGTAGTATTGCACGTGTACGCTTATCAGGCTGTACCGTTCAGATGTGTGCCCTTTACTGTGGCTTTTACTTCAGTGAGAGCAGTTCTCTGTGTGCTGGGGTTGGAACCCAGGACGTGATGCATATGAGTCAAGACAGCTCTACCACTGAGTTTCCTCCATGTTCCAGTGAAAAACATTAAGGGACTAGAGAGATGGCTTAGTGGTTAAGAGCTGCTCTTCCAGAAGACATAGGTTTGATTCCCAACACCACATGACAGCTAACAGCCATCCATAACTCCAGTTCCAAGGGAATTTGGACCTTTTGACCTCATTGGGCACTGCACAACATGGGTGCACTCACATACATGCCGGCAGTACACTCATATACATAAAATAAAAATAGTAAAATTTTAAAAAATTGAATGTCTAAGAACAATAGTCTTTCTGAAATTATTTCATAAGTATTCATATGAATAGATAATTTTATTTATTTTATAGATGAATTTGTCAGTTCTGGGTCAGATAACTAGTAAAACTTAAGCAAACAAATGTGGTTTAAATTTGTAAATACACAGCTTCTATCCCAAGTCTTCTTCTTGTTGTTTTGTTTCATTTTGGTTTTCCTTGAGACATGGTCTTGTGTGTTGTCCAGAGTAGCTGGGACTACAGGTGTGCACCAGCATGCCCAGCCCCAATTTCTTAGGGATTTTTTTTTTTTGGTTCTGGTTTTGTTTTTTTGAGACAGGATCTAGCTGTGTAGACCAGTCTGTCCTTGAACTCAGAGAGATCCAGGATCAAAGGTTTGCCCAGCTTCAACTCTTTTTTCCAGTGCTGCAGATTAAACCCAGGGCCTTGAACACCCAGGGCCTACCACTGTGTGACATCCCTAGCCCCCCAAGGGTTAAGCCTCAGTTATTCAGTGTATAAGCCTCAGTTATTCCATCTATATAAGCCTCAGTTATTCAGTGTATAAGCCTCAGTTATTCCGTCTATATAATGGGGATAACAACACTTGACTGCTATACTACAAAGGTCTTTAAGACCAGAAGCAGGGTGGTGTGTTCAGAAGAACACAGGTCTTTCAGAATCCAACAGACCTAGTCTAGCCACCTCCTCTCCTCCTAACTGCATGCCCCTGTACTGCCAGCTGAATCTCCCTTGCCTTAGGGCAGTCTACTTGTGGATGGGGATTCTGAAATGTGTGACACTTCAGTCAAAAGTTGACACTGAGAAAATGCTGTTTCCCGCTCAGTGTCTGGCTGCCTCTGCAATTTTAAGATAAAAGGGGATTGAATTAGAAATTTAATAGTCTCTGTACTATATTTTATGCCTGCAATACTTTTAAAAAAAAAAAAAAGTGTTCGTGCTGGGCGCAGTGGCACATGCCTTTATCCCAGCACTCAGGAGGCAGAGGCAGGTGGATCTCTGCGAGATTGAGGCTAGCCTGGTCTACATAGTGAGTTCTAGGCCAGCTGGGGCTACAGGGACATCCTGCCTCAAAAAAAAGGGGGGGGGTGTTTTACTGGGGATTGAACCTAGAGTGGCAGATAAAACTGTGTATATCTTTACTGACTTAGAGAAAAAAATATTATTGCTAGTAATGATTACCCCTCATTCTCATTAAGTTTCTGGCACAACAAAATTGAGTTAAGGGGGTTAGGGACATAGGCCCTGAGTTCAATCTTAAACACTTCAAAAAGAATTTTTTTGAGGAGAAAAATAAATTAGGCTATCTTTAAAAATTGAAAATGAGGTGGCTGGAGAGATGGCTCAGTGGTTAAGGGCACTAGCTGCTCTTGCAGAGGACCCAGGTTCGGTTCTCCGCAGCCACATGGCAGCTCACAACTGACTGTAACTCCAGCTTGAGGGGAGGGGTGTCCATCGCCCTCTTGTGGCCTCTGAAGGCACCTGCACACACATGGTCACATACATACATGCAAGTAAATACTCATACACATAAAATTAAAATCTTGTTAAAAATTGGTAAGTGAACACAGTACTCCCTTGGCTCCCACTCCTGTGGAAATAAATGTTAGTTCTGTGACAAAGAACTTCAGACAAACGTTTTACCGCTAGGTGGCAGCAAATATTTGTCAGAAAGGACCAGATCTGATGAGGGCAGCAGAGTCTTCCAGGGGAACCAGAGTAAATGTCTCAAGAAAGAATCATGAGAATCATGACTTCTGTTTTTGTGTGTTAAAAGGAATTACATCAAATCATTTTGTCTAAAGCTTTAAAGTTGTCTGTGTCTTGCAAATTGAATTGGAATTTCTCAATCAGTAGCAAGTTAAATGGAATTTAAAGGATTTAAAAAACTGGACATTGCGGGACAAAGTTGAGTGTAAGTTAAATTTCTATCATACTTTGCTCTCAGCATACCTCATAGTTGAGGAGACGCCCATTTTCTACAGTCAAGTTCTGAGTCATTTGGTATTTGTATGTGTTTGGTGTGTGCGTGCACGTGCGTGCGTGTATGTGTGTGTGTAGTGTAGGCCAACACTGAACTACATCTCAAATGCTACAACAAATACCTTTCCAGTACAGAGTCATAGAATTTAAAGTATTTAATAGACTGTTGTGTTCACCTTTCCTTGGGAGACATTAACAAATGTCTGTTTGTCTTAGGTCAGGCATAGGTGATGACCAGAAAAATGACTCCACTCACATCTAGCTTGGTAAAATGAGGAGTT